AGTAAGAAGTAAGTTTATCTCATACACTAGCCTTGGAAAACATTTCCAGGATAAATAAAAAATCAATCATATTAGTGGGATACAGTCTAAACAAAACCTGGCAAATCAGCAATCTTATTTACAAGACAAGGCTTTGGCACGTAATTGATTTCTTTGCAAAAATATACTCGTTTTCTGGCTTTCCAAAGGGTGTTTCTATTTACAAACCATAATTTACTATCTACAGTCACCCGGTTGAAATATAATACATAAATCGATTTTTTTTTTAGGAAAACATAAATCGATTTTTTATTCCAAAATTACCCTTTTAATTGAAATGGGTGCTACAACCATCATAACATTTCGCATCTCAAATTTCTTCTCTTACCATTCTAATCGTTAATTGAAACCTTCTGGACAATCATCATAGATGAACACAACCACTTTCTCCATTTTCCATTCTAATCCATTTTCCATTTTTAATCCACCTAGAAGCCTTCGGGCCGGTATTCGATTTCTTGGAACATTTCGAATTTAAACTGTTAGATATTTTTTATGGATTTGTGATTCAAATTATACTACTTAATATAAGGATTGGATGTGTTAAGTGCTCTCTCTCCCTAAAACATGAAGTATAAAGTTTTTGATTAAGGATGTTTTTACTTGGACTGTAATTTGCTGGTCTGGTCTGGTCTGGTCTGAACTGGTCTGGTCTGGTCTAGTCTGGTCTGGACTGGTCTAGTCTGGGACCCCGCCACCTCCGGTTGTTTGTCAGTTGTGTTTTTTTTCCAGGTCATTCAGCTCTACACTGTTCCCGCTTCACTTCATCAAATACTCCTGTTTTGGCCGCATTACCTACCGGTGAGATGGGGAGGTGGGCGGGGGCTACGATGTGGGGGCCGGAGCGTGGTGGTGCTGGAGGTGGATGCGGGGGGCGCTGCTAGTGAGACAGGTCGGGCTGGGTGAGGGGGCATATGGGGTTACATTCTGGTTGTTGGGGAGGTTGTTCGATGGGCAGGTAAGGTGGTGCGGTGGTGACTGGCCGGGGCTGAAGGTTAAGGTTGTGGCTGCGGACTGGCAGTTGGGTGGAGGGGATGATGGGTGGCTGGGGGATGGGAAGTCAAGTCGGGTGGTGGGGTGGTGGTCTGCGGCGGCGGTACAGGGTGATAGTCATGCGATGGGGGTCCACAGTGATGGTTGGCGACGGCTCTAAGCGGGGTAGGCTGGTGACAGGGTTGCGAGGAGCAAAGAAAGGATGGGGAGACGGTGTCACTGTGACCGGAGTCGGCATGTCACTGTGGTGGTGTCACCGTGACGGTCGTGTCACTACGATGGTGTCATCGATGGCGTCGTGTCACTCGTGTAGTCGTGTACTTACTTTTTAGGAACAATGCATTGTTTTTAAAAAGATTACTATGTGTATAGAAGTTGTTCTCTTCACCTGATCTGAATGTTTCTGATCTGAATTTTTTAAGTTCTGATCTGATCTGATCTGAATTTTTATGATCTGATCTGTATCTTTTTGGTCTGATCTGAATCTTTCTGATCTGATCTGAATGGTCCTGATCTGATCTAAATGTTCCTGATCTGATCTGAATCCTTCTGATCTGATCTGAATCTTTCTGATCTCATCTGATTTGAATATTTCTAAAATTATAATTACAATTATAATTACTATAATTATAAATGTAATTACACATATATAATTTAAATATAATTATAATTATAATCATAATTATAAAAATTATAATTATAATTACAAACATAATTATAATAGGTATAATTATTATTATACGTATTACACTAGTTATAAATATAGTTATAATTATAATTGTAATTATATTTATAGCTATATTATAATTATAATTATAATTATAATATTTATTTCTATAATTTTAATTGTAATTACTCCGTATAATATGATAATAACGAAAACAAAACTAATAACAATAACAACAACAATCATATTAGTAGTAAGAATAATAATAATCATTATAATAATAAATATAATAATAATAATAATAATAATAATAATAATAATAATCATAGTAATCATAGTAATAATAATAATAATAATAATAATAATAATAATAATAATAATAATAATAAGAATAATAATAATACTAATAATAATAATATCAATAATAATATTAATTATAATAATTACAATAACAACAACAAGAATAATAATAATTATAATTATTATAATTATTATAATTATTATAAATATTATTATAATTATTATTATTATAATAAAAAGGATAAATCATGTCTGAACATTTCTGATGTGAATGTTCCTGATCTGATCTAAATCTTTCTGATCTGATCTGAATCTTTCTGATCTGATCTGATTGATTCTGATCTGAATCTTACTGATCTGATCTGAATTTTTCTGATCTGATCTGAATAAAATAAGAATAAGCAATAAGTAATAAGATTAAGGGAAAAAGACATAAGTAGGACTAAAAGATGCTCGTGGAACTTAAATAGGACTCAATGTTTATTAACTCCCGTCTAGGACTATTTTTTCCCTGAGGGACAAAAATACCCTCACATCTCACGCACCAGCCACACAACACGCAACGAAGCCGAATTCACGAATTCACAATTCCCTGGCCGTCCTCCATCGTATCCATCGGGATTCAAAATTCCCTGACCGAAGTTGTCCTCAATTCCGTTGACCTTCATCTTGACGCTCGAATGTTTTGTGTTAACTGCCGGTCTGCCGCTAGTAATCGCCGGAGTATATGCCTCTGGTCGTCGCCAGATCGTCCTCTTCTTTCTCTTATTTTTTGATGCTGCTTCTTTTCAAGTTTTGTTGAACAAAAATGGGGTTGAAAGCTACTCAGTTGATTCTAGCCGGAGCAATTAGGATTTTCCGATTTGTACAAAACCAATTCGTTGTTCTACTTGTGTCTCGATGACCTGTGGAGAAGGAAGGTGACATCGCTGAGCTCAGCAAACTCAATTATTGAGCTTTTTCTTTTTGTTGTCCAGATCTATTTGTGATTTTTCCCTTCTTGCTTTCTTCTATTTTTTCTCAATTTTCCATTTTGTTTCATTGTTGTTTTGGAGTTCCCTTTGTTTCGTTTCTCTAAATTCTTACGTAGTATTTGGTTTTCCTTTCTCTTATTCTATTTTTTTTACCAAATTCTCTTATTCTCTTAGTTATTCTAAATTTTTCTATCTACTTGTACCATATAGATTCTAATATTGTGTATACTTCATTTCCTTAAACAATTTCACGTTGTCATTTTCACAATATTATTAAATAATATCACAATATCACAATATTATAAATGAACAAACATTATTTCTTGACAATTGTACAATTTTAGTATCACAATGTCATAATGTTATTACATAATGTCACAATATTACAATCACAATGACATCATAAAAAAACAATGACACTTGTTAACAATGTCATATTGTTATTACACAATGTCAAAATATCATAATGTCAATGTTATGACACTGTTTATTGTACATAACTAGTGTCATGGAATTACAATGACATATTTTGACACAATGACAATTCCAATGACAATGTCATAAAAATGTCAATGTATAAAAATGTCATCGAGATAAGAAAATGTCACAATGACAATGTCATTTTCGATGCTATAAAATGACATTGTCATTGTGACAATGTCAATATAATAGCTATTATGACGATGTTAATTTTATAAAAAGAAGTCACAACGTCAAAAAAATCTTGTAATGCTAATTAATCACGATGACAATGTCATAAAAATGTCAATGATAATGTCATAAGAATGTCAATGACAATGTCATAAGAATGTCAATCATTATGAAAATGACATTGTTAAAACTAATGTCAAAGCTATAAAATGCGGAGTATAATTTTTATTTCAGCAGGTGCAATGTTTGCAAGACAAAGCCAATTCACATTCATCACTCTTAAAAATGACATCAAAATAACATTATAACAATGACAATGAATGTCATTGTCATTAAAAATGACAACATTATAACAATGTCATTGCTATAATTTAGAAAAATGTTATAATGTCAATTAAATGTCACAATATCAAATAATAACAAATGCAATGTTATAAATAATGACATTGTCCTTTCAAAAAAATAATGTCATTGTAATAATGACAATGTCATTGTCAAAATGTAAAAAAAAATTACAATGTCAAAAAATATATCTAAAAATAATTAATAGAAAAATACCTAAAAAAGCTAGAACTCAAAAAAATAAATTAAGTGAGTAGAATAGCATTAAAATAAATACAGTGTATTCAACAACAAAAAAAATGAAAGGAACCAGATTGAAAAAAACGCAAAGAGAATCAAAAGTTAAAACGTAAGGAACCGGGCTGGAAAAAAGTAAGTCAGATATTTCCCCGATCTAAAAGAGAAGAAGAGAAAGAGGAGGAGAGGAGAGGACAGGAAAAGAGAGAACGCAGCACGCCCTCCCACCGCACCGCCGCACTGTCGCATCGCCGCATTGCCGCATCGCCGCACTGCCACACCGCGGCATCGCCTCACCGTCTCGCCACGCACCGCTGCAACGCTGCACCTTCTCTGTCTTTCCCCATCTGCAACGTCACTATAGCTCAACTTTTCCATTATTTTTTAAGATGCTTTGCCTTGCTTAGGTATGGAGGAAGGAGAGAGGGTTTGACGAGGATGTTGCCTAGAGATAATAAAGTTTGGCGTGAAAGGAACATGTTGTTGCCGAGAGATAAAACAGGGGCAATTTTGGAAACACCGAAAAATTCAGTCCTATCTAAGAGTAAAAAAAAGTCAAGGTCTTATTTAAGTATATACTATCCTCCGTATCATAATAGTTGCAACATTGGAATTTACGCATTATCCATGCACTCTACTTTGACTACATTTTATTTACTAATGTATGTGAATTATTTTTTTCGAAAAATATTTTTGAATTCGTCTCATTACGAAGTTTCATAATCTGATTTTTAAATGTTTTTTACTAATAGAGAATTAAATATAATGACAGTCAAAATTGTGCATTGGCAAGCGTGAAAAAGGGAATGTTGCAACTAAAAAAGAACGGAGGAAGTATGAAAAGCTAAGGTCTTATTTAGCACCATTTCCCTAATATTAAGACGAACATAACAGCTTCATAGTCATATAAGCAGGGGCACTATACAAGTAATCAGTGAAAAGAGTACCCACATTAACCTTTCTTATTTATTTTCAAGCAAATGAGGATAGGACACCCGCTCAGATTAATTGAGTAAATTGACACAAACATAAAATGGCATACAATTGACATTAATCACTGTCTTTGACCACAACATATTCCTTATTCCTTTTTTTTTACTCAAAAGATCGCAGAGGATAGGCTGAACTTCTCATAGCAGAGGTCTAACCAGAGATCTCAATGGATTTGACTTCGGGCTTCTTCACTTCCTCTTTGGGAACAGTTACAGTGAGCACACCATTCTCCATTGAAGCCTTAACCCGATCCACCTTGGCATTCTCCGGCAACCGGAACCTGCGAAGGAACTTGCCGCTGCTCCGCTCCACGCGGTGCCACTGGTCGTTCTTCTCCTCCTGCTCCCTGCTCCTTTCCCCACTGATCTGCAGCACCTTCCCTTCCTCTACCTCCACCTTCACCTCCTCCTTCTTCAGCCCCGGTAGATCCGCCTTGAACACGTGAGCCTCCGGCGTCTCTTTCCAGTCGATCTGCGCATTCGCAAATGCCGACGTGTCGCGAGCAGAGCCGACGGCGTTGGAAAACGGGAAGCCTTGGAAAGGGTCCCAAATATCCAGAGAGAATGGGTCGGAAACGTGGCTCCGGCGACCTCCGAAGATGCTTGGAATCAGAGACATAATTGACTCAAATCTGAATTTGTACTTCCGTTAAGAACAGTCGAACTGATTTGGACTTCGAATTTGATGATTAATTTAGCTGAATTCACTTCGATGAGCATCGCAAGGAGCACGAACCGGTTTATATACGAGAAGACGATGGAGCCAGAACTTTCAAGTAGCTTCCAGAGTCGTTTTCAAATCTTCCATTACACGGGTCTGGTTTTTTCCTTCATCCACATGGTTCTACAACGTTCCAGATTTATTCAATTAATTTGGGCCGGAATGATTAAAAGCTGTTGGACGGGCTAGGAATCCTAGGATGGTTCAAATTATGTTGTACGGTTGTATATAATCATCATGTTGTAATTTTAGATCAATTTATTTTTATAATAATTCTCTCTATCTCTTGTATTCCCTCCTCCGTATTTAAAAGTCTTTCTGTACTTTTTATAAAATATAAAAAGTAGTTAAAAATTGTTAGACTAATTTTTTGATATTAGAATATATACTATCATCCAATACAATAAAAATGACTCTAAAAATTCAAATAAATAAATAAAATCTGAAAACATTCAAATTATAAAAAGAGTTCAAATTATACTTTATCAATAAAAAGAAAATATAAAATAAAATATTAAAATTTTATAAAATGAGGAAAAAAAGTATACTAAAAACCGTTTATAATATAAAAAGCTGGAAAGAAATTAAAATAAGTAAAAAGTCAAAACTAAATAAAAATGGAAAAAAATTAAATATTTGGATTTTGTAATTTGATATCTTCTTTTAAATAGCTACGGAGTTCAATTATTGTTATTATAATTTCATTGTTACTTTTTGTTGCATATTGTTTCTTTGTGTTTATTGTTGTTGATTACTTTAAAAGTTATCATTTTGTGTTTGTACATAAAAATATATAGATATTTTGGTTTTAAAGAAGTAGAAAAGATAAACTGAAACCTAAATAAACATAAAAAATCCACTTCAACAATAAACAATAATAAGCAACACAGTACAATAAAAAGTAACATGGTGCAACAAAATGCAACATGATGCAACAAGATGCAACAAAATGCAATACAAGTGATGCAACAAAAAACAACAAAAAGAAACAAAAAACAATATATAAAAGTATCACACCAAATATACAATTAAATCTACTGTTCCAATTTACTAAATTTATCTAACAGTACTATATTATTTGGTCTTGCTTCTTATCATTCCTTCTTTGGATATCGCCCTTACAAACATCAATGTTGGTGTGCCTCGTTAATTCTCTGCCAATCTGGAATATGATTCATATACTATTGCTTTTCCTCGTCGATGCTATTTGATGACACTTCCTCCCTGCAAAATACCAATCTTTCATGTGAAGAATAACCCAACCATAACAAAGTAGTGAAGAACCATCTCCCACTACACCGCATAAACTCACTTGAAACACTGAAGCAATCCCAATAGTTAAAAAAAGTAAATCTATAGATAATAGATTTAACATAGCGAGCACCAAGAACGACACATTTTTTTGGGAACATTCATCAAAACTAGCAAAGCTTAGGGCCTGTTTACTAACAGAAATATTTTGCAGTTTTCCAGAAAACTGGAAAACTGGAAAACTGGAAAACAGAATAAATTCATTTTCATTTTTATGTTTTTATTATGATTGAAGATGAAGAAACGTGAATCATGAAGTGCCTCAATCCCTATGTACTGCAAGTTTATATGTTCCTATAAATATAAAAATCAATATTGTTTAAGAAGAGAAGTGAAAATACAGTACAGAGACATATGGGGAGCATATGGCTTTAACTTTAAATAAATGTAAAGAACAGATCTCCATGAATATGCAAACCAAAATGTACCATAGATAGTGTACCATACGATTTAACACAAGTTCATCCAGAAAAAATTATGCAATTCAGAAGAAAGAGAAATGCTGGAAGAAAGACAAATTATGGAAGGAGATTAGATGCAAACCATCTTCCAAATATCCATCATTCAATTAACTAAAGAAATCAATTCATTCACACACCCAATTCACAAAAGAGAACACATATTTCTAGCTAGAATACATATTTCAACTCATTCACACACTGATAGGTCTCCAGAGCTTTTTCCTATTCTTTCACGAAGAATTGAGTAACCTCCTTTCTAGTGTAACCCTTTGCAAATATAGGATCAAGCTCAATGCATTTTTCAGTGTCTTTGAGCCCCTCAGGCAATGCCCCAAGTTTGGTGTAGCTAGCAACCCTATTGCTATATGCCTAAAAACAGTCAAAGAGAGCACTAACATTACGTAAGGAATTTCGCTCCCTTCTTTAAGGTTTGTACAACAATGATGTCAATCTTCAGTTTTTGAACTCTACTAGCATTTAGGGGTGGGCATAAAAAACCGTAACCGGCATACCGTACCAAAAAACCGAAAAACCGGCATTTTGTTTGGTTAACCGAACCATAATCCAAAAAACACACGGTACGGTTAACCTACCGAAAGGAAAAGTGGTTCACGGTATGGTTACGGTTTTAAAATTATCCCAAGGTCGGTTAACCGATAACCGGAAGTTCAAATGTTGTACTCGGTTTCATTTGTATCTGCCATAAAAATATTACTGCAATACATTACGTACAAGTGTACAACATATGGTTGTCTCATTTGACGGCAACCATGCTGCGATATCAAAGCCTGGGGAGAACTGGGATAATTAAAGAACAAAAGCAATCTATTTTAATTAAGCAAATACGTAGTAAAATAATACTACGTGGGTCGTGGACTGCATGATAATTTCTTCTAATTAATTTGTGAAGAAAAAATGTTGCTGTGAATTTTAAATATTTAAACATATTGGTTCGTTCCTACATAACACACTTAATTCATATCCTCAGCACCAGCTAGCATTTACGTATACATTGATCGTTCCTACATTTTATTTTTTTGGCAACTTAATTCATTTTTGTATTTATGTTGTGGTTATTTGGTTAACCGATTAGTGGTTAACCGGAATTTCGGTTAATTGATACCCAGTTAACCGATGTTATGGTACGGATAATAGTATTGAAAATATAGTAACCAAACTCTCGGTTAACCGAAAGACGGTTACCCACCCGTGCCCACCCCTACTAGCATTGACTCACCTTCTCATTCTCTATGCTTCCCATATCCTACAGTGTTGTTTAAATGGTATGCACACATTCATAGAATTAACAAATAAATAGTTTTTTTTTCGAAAATGAAATAAAAGTAGTACAATGTTAGTAGAGTGATTTATGGGTGCAGAGCAGCAGAGGTGTAATGGTAGAAATAATCAGATGGTCTTTCTTGATAAGAACCACTCCTGTGAAAATAACTTTAGAGACCTATCAGTGTTAATTACACTCATGTGAAAATAACTCTGGAGACCTATCAGTGTTACACCAATCTTCAAGAGTTTTCTCAACCTCTCTTTTCTTGTTCCTACAATAAACTAAGGTGTCCGTTCCTCTTCTAAAACCACACTCCTGTGAAAATGTATCTTTAGGTGAACATACAATGTAATTCATTCTGATAGCACATCAAGCAGTCTAATGTCAATTCAGTATGCTTCTCCACAAATGTATCTATACATACTAAAACACATCATCTCACTATATAGAAAACACAAGAGCCAGAAAGTAAATAATAGTATGAGTTGGAAAGGCTCAACTAAAGTTGAAAGTAATTTGTAACAAAAATTAAGCAGAAAGTAAAATAAAGCTTAATAAGAAACCAGAAATAAAGGTTAATTGTATGAATTATATAATCAAAATAAAAGTGAAAGTAAAATGTTGAAAATCTCAAACACATACCTGTAAATAAGCGAGGCAGTCAAACGGCGACCTATAAAGCACTGAAGCAGCCAAACGGTAGAGGTCGGAGGCCGGAGACGCGGAGGCGCAGATGCCAGAGGCACGGAATAGAGAAAGCCGGAAGCGTTAAGGACGGACAGAGCCTCGAATGTGAGGAGCCGGCCGGAGCCGCAAAGGCCGGAGACCGGAGCCGCGAAAGCCGGAGACCGGAGCCGCGAAGGCCAGAGACCGGAGCCGCGAAGGCCAGAGACCGGAGCCGCGAATGCTCTGAGTCGTGATGGCCGGAGGGCCCTGCGATCGTGAAGATGGACGAAGGGCTGAGGTAGAGCCAACCATCGACGTGGATTACTCTCGCTCCCACTTTGGTTTTGAATTGGGGTTGAGACTTGAGATTGTTTTTGAAGTACGTAAGTTACAAGTGAAAAACAAAAAGTTTGTAAATGAAAAGTAAATAATAATTAGGAGACATAAATGAAATACAATTACACAAAGGAGACTCTACCAGATATTTCCACTACAATCATCATGTTGTAATTTTAGATCAATTTATTTTTATAATTATTCTCTCTATCTCTTGTATTCCCTCCGTGTTTAAAAGTCTTTCTCTACTTTCTTTTGAATGTATTTATAAGTTTCATACACTTCAATTTTTGGTAAGTTTATCCTTTATAAAATACTTAACTATTCTTACCTTATTTACTCCCCCCGTCCCTGAATTTACTTCTGTAGTACAAATGGCACACAGATTAAGAAAGCGAGAATTGTGTGGTGGAGAGTTGTGCAGAGGAGAGAGAAATGTGTAATAATTGTTGTGAACCACAAATTCTTTGCCAAAAGGGAAAGTGAAGTTATTTTTGGGACGAACGAAAAGGGAAAGTTGGAAGTAAATTCAGGGACGGGGGAGTACTTTTTATCTTCTCTTTTATACTTTTACACACTCTCTCCTACTTTTTCTACATTATTCACTACCCTACTATTCTATACTAAAATGTTGTGTCCAAAGCTAGTGTTGAGTTCATTTAAATACGCAAGGAGAATGTGTTTTGTCCTTGAAATAACGTGTTTTATATTTTACGGTTGTGATTTGGGGGCAGGGGTCAATCTTATGTCATTGTTGTTGGAAAAATGTGTGAAAAATTGCATTAAATGGCTATTTTTGGGGCAATTTTTTGAGTGGGGTCCACTTCCGATTTGGGTCGGGTCAAAGTGGTTTCGGATTTTCCTTGTTAAGGGCTACAATTCGATATATGGTACGCTCAAAACGGATAACGGGTGAATGAGAAATCGCTTTTCGAAGTTTACCCGTTAGAAGGGAAAAAGGATGAGTTTCTAGTGTGTTAATTTCCCACACCGCAAAACCCAAGGGATTTGCAACCCTTTATAAAGGGACTTCCCCCTTAAGGAGTTAAGATTCCTAAGGGTAAAGGCTCTCTCCACGCGCGCAGGGGGGTGCAAATCAAATCCCGAATTCGGAGAA